TCTTCCGATCTCCCCAAAACCCCAAAACCCCATAATGCTAAAATATGGAAAAATCTAAAAATGTAAAACTGAATATTTAAAGTTTATCAATGATAATGATGAAGTTTATGAAGATAATAATCAATGAAAATGACATTTTTCTAATATTTCTAGGTAGCATTCTCATAAGGGTAAGTTTATTTGCTGATATTTCGGCAATTTAGCATCTTATGCTCATTTCTTTTGAGCTAGCTTGGACTGAATCATTGTGGATTTCCTGACTTATTATGCTTACTTTTATCCTGCTTATTTATTCTTCAGCTTATTTTAAAGATCAATAGCTTTCTTTGCGCAAAGAGGGATGTGTCTCTGAGCAGGTATAGCTGCAAATTTACGACCACAATGTTCGCATTCTACTCTATCATCAGGCACTCCTTCAACAGTCTTTCCAGTTTTGGCTGATTAAATTGCCGCTCTAAACTAAGCAGAGTAGATCTTCCATTTAGCATTCAGCTTTTAGTCAATTTGGTAATAAGATAGTTTAGTCTGAGCAGTTTCCAAGAACTTTTGATGCTCCTCATCCATTGTTCTTTGCTTTTGAGCGTTGAATTCCTTTCTTCTTTTAATGAATACTTTCTCACATATGATTATATGCTTTTAGAAAGATTCCTCATTAAATCTTCTGCCGCAGAGATCACACTCTTATCTTTCATCACCCTCTTCTATTTTATCTCTCACAATCCTATTAATGATTCATCAACAATGAAAAGCTTACTTTTTCTTGATTTTTAGGAGTTTACCACCAGCTTATTATATCTGCTGCTACTATTATATTTCTTATCTCTAAGTTTTAGTTAATTAGCAGGGATTCAAGCTCAATCTATTGCTTACTGCAGCTGATTAATTTACTGACTCCTTTTTAATTTATTGCGTTTACTGCATTTACTATTATTTCTTTTCTTCTAGTTTCTGTTGCAACTATTGTTAGAAAGTAGGTTCCTTTGATTTTTCAGGTTATATTGTATGCATAGTCTAAGTAGTAGTAGTCGGTCCCAGCTTATTTTACTTTTTGTAAATTGAAGTCAATGATTATCTTTAATGTGGCTTACTTGGTTCATTCTACTTTTGGTTCACGCTTAAGCTTGATGTAGTTTTCTATGGTGCCTATTATTACATTTTAGTGGCAGCATTTACAAATGAACCAGGCTAACTTGTAGTTATATGATCTGATAGATTATCAAGAAGATTGTCATCTTCCTCCTTAATCTCCTCATTTAGCTTGTCTGGGATTTTCAATTCTGGTTGCTAAAACTATTATCCTAACCTTGTTTGAGATATTTTCTTTCTCAAAGCAGGCGAAGGATGAAACAGAGAAGCTTATGGCATTTATTATTGATTTTAATACTATGCTGGTATACTGTCTCTTTAGGAATCTTTGGCTTCTTCTTCCTATGTCACAATTATTTTGAACTGAGTCGAACCCAAATCTTGTTAGTCGAAGGACTTTTTATCTGGACTGGTACTCAGAGTACTACCAATCATATTATCATTATCTGTGCTAAGTCTTAGGTCACCAGCCTCAGTAGATTTATTAAATGGATTACGCTTGTTATCATTTCGTACTGAGTATTAATCGGAGGTAAAGTTATTTCTTTGAATTTAAATGTCCTGAGGCTTGATTTCTATTTATTATAATCTTAGCTAATCATTAGTTTATTATGACTGTTGCACGTAATTAGGCAACTGATTTTATTACTGATTACTGTAGTATGATTTAGATTTCGGTCTGCTAAATGAGGCAGGAAGATTAGCTAAATTCAGCTATAGCTCCTTTATTTTGTCTTCAAGTTTATTGTTATCAAATAGATTTGATCTATTAAGTGAAGATGAGTTGTTCTCCTATCTATAAGGATTATTAGTAGTATAGACTGAGTTGCTTTGTTTTTCTCTTGTTTGAGGATTGACAAGATTTCCTCCATTTCTTGCTAATGATGAGCTTTAAGTCCCATTTAATCTAGTACTTGATTGTGGAGGCTTCATATTACTTTAAATAAGCTCTGTTCTTTGTCTAAAATTCATATCTGGAGATTCCTCGTGAGCTTATTAGGTTATTGGTGATAAGTTGAAAGATTCATTCGCCATTAAATTTTATTGTCCATTTTGCTATTTTTATTGTTGATTTTATTGCCCGAACCCTGAGCCACCTCCAATACCAGATTTTCCCTTCAATGCGAATAAACTTTAGCTACCTGATGAGACTTACATTGATTGTCTCATTGGATGAATGGGTAGTTTTTGATTTATTGGTGACTATTAAAAATTCTAGGATATTTAAATTGCCTTTTCTAATACTTCATCTGAATCTTTCGCTTGATCAAAAGGACTCTTATCCTGGTCATTTTAATTTACAGATCTTTATTAAAATCCAAATCCTCCACTAGTAGGAGTTATATCACTTGTCCTTTGATACTATACAGACTTTTAAAATTAAGGTTGTTAACCTTAGGTGCTATTAGCTGGGGCTTTACTAATCGACTTCAGAAAATTAGAAGCAGATTACTAGGTTTTTGAAAATTAGGGACTAGCATCTACAGTATCATTCAAATAAGAGTTTTATAGTTATTGATGCTGTTATTGCTATTACTATTATTTTACAATTTACTAATTGACTCTTTAAAGACCTGATCCAATTTATGAAACTTTGGCTATCGAATTTAAGTTTGTTGATGTCACGCTCTTTTAATTGTTTTATGTTGTAATTAAGCTTGAAAACTGGCCTCTTCCTTGCGCAGTATTTTATTAAATTTAGGGCACCCCATGATTTTAGGGAGTCAATTATCCTAGTTTACTACTAGGTCCTTAAACTATTGTTTTTGGAGCTCCACCACCAATCAAATTCTATTAATTAGTTGTAGACTTCTTAACCTCAGAATTTGAGGCTTGCTGTGCGCTCTGCCTACTTTAATAATTTGAAGATGAAGTTGAGGCAAGCTATTACTGCAAGGCTGTCAATTATTATAGGGAATGCTAATTTGATACTGCAGTACCTCTTTGAAAAGGGTTGTTACCTTGATCCCCTCTGCCCAAATTTGATTGATTAAGCTTGCTTTATCCTGCATTATGAGAATTTTAAGGCTGCTGCTATTATTACATGCTCGTGTTAAGCCCTTTACCTCCAATAGTATTACTTGTCTTATTTGCACTTCCATTAATCTTTGCTTGAATAGATGCAGACATTTTAGGTGCAATATCTGTTGTAGCTGTTAAAGGTCTCTGCTGAGAAACTCTCTGCTATGGGATTTATTGCATACTTTAAGTCTAAGGCTGTGTTTATTTCTGTGCCCCAATCATTTAAAGTTTATTTTCTGTCTTGTTAATAATAGGAGTTTTACTTCCCTAATTAATTTGATCTAGGGTCTAGGTTTCTGGATTTGAAAAGGGTTCATGCTGATCTGATGATCCAAGTTTCTTAACAAGGGTTGGCTATCTAATCCTTGATGCAAAAGATGAATTCTACTAATTTGTTCCATTCATTTTTTTAGAAGATTGATTGAATATATGAGTTGAATTATAATTTTAATTGATATAAACTCTAAATTATTCTATTTTAATTCCAGGGGTTTTGGGGTTTTGGGGTTTTGGGGTTTTGGGG